CTCTGTGAGTCTGAGGCCAACCTGGTCTACACAACAGTGAGTCTAAGGCCAGCCTGGTCTACACAGCAGTTCCAAGCCAGCCAGACATACATAGTGAAACTCTATCTCAATAATAATAATAATAATAATACTTTAAATAAAACTGAAAAGTACTTACCTCCAGCGAGAGACGTAACCCAGCACAGAGCTGTGAGGGGCTCTTTTTTCCCCTCATGTCCTCTTAATTTCTGTCTTCCTGTCCTGCCTCAGAGAGTAAGCAGTTGGCTGGTGGCTCAACGGGTAACGTTGCCTTCTTCAGCCAAACCTGAAGCCAGGACCCACATGGTAAAAAGGAGAATACCTACTCCAAGTTGTCCTATGACCTCCACACATCATACGTGCGCGCGCACACAGCTGTGACTGGGGCCAGAAGAGGCTGGAGTGGGGTTCCGTGAGCACATGGAGGGATGCACTGCCAAGACAGACCCCGCCATCCTCCACTGCCTTCTGCTGGTTTCTCTTTCCGCTGGTGCCCCCTCACTACCTTCCCCCAGGTTCCCATCACCGCCTTCCTCCCAGTTCCCTTCTCGACCTTCTCAGTAATTCCCTCACTACCGCCCACCCAGGTCCCTCCCACTGTGTTCCCCCTGTTTCTTCTCCTTTCCCTGGCCCTAATTCTCCCTCTCCACCTTCCCCACCTAGTTCCCATCACCACCTTGGCCCCTCAGTTTCCCCCATTCTCTTCTCCAAGTGTCTTTCCACGCCAGTTTCTCTCTCACTAAGTCATTCTCTCCCTCATTTGCCTCCAGGCGCCCAACCCCTTGGACACCACCTTCTCTCCTCAGAGACCGACCTCATTCTCCCAATCATCTCCCCTCCTGCCAGGTTCCACTCACAACTTCCCACAATTGAGCTTTCTGCTCCGGCTGGTCCTTTCTATGAATGTCTGCCTCAGTTTCTTTCTGCACAGGTGTCTGCTCATCCCCCCTCCACCCTAGCTAACTCCACATTCTCCCCTCAGGCTCGCTCAGGTCTCAACCCAGGAACCCCCCTGAGTCCTCAACCTAAGCGAGATGTCCAGCGCAATGACCAACTGCTAAAGGCCTCTCTCTCTTCCCTGACACAAACCAGCAATTTCCTAGAAGAGAAGAGACACCTACTAAACCCTGTACAACACTACTGTCTTCTGGTTTTCTCCTCCAAGGAATCTCGGAGCCACACTAAAACCTCACTTACCGGAAGGAGGGGGTGTGAACTGGAGAGAGGGCTCAGTGGTTAAAAGCACTTGTTGCTCTTGCAGAGGACAGAGGCTCACAACCCTGTGAGACTCCAGTTCTGGGGGATCTGGCGCCCTCTTCTGTCCTCTGTGGGCACTGCAAGCACATGGTGAGCAGATATACAGGCAGGCAAAACACCATACACATAAAAATAAATCTTGCCCTGTGGTCACACCTTTAATCACAATACTCAAGAGGCGGGCAAATCTCTGTGAGTTCTAGACCACCCTGATCTACAGAATTGAGTTCCAGGACAGTCAGGGTTACATAGAGAAACCCTGTCTCAAAAGACAAATCGTCTTTAAAAAAGAGAGAGAGAGAATGGGGAGGGTGTTTTAGTAGCATTTTGGGGATGTAACTTGAGGACCAACATGTTGAGTGCTGAGACAAACACCTGTCCGTCAGAAGCCAGCAATCAGGCCTCACTCACTGCAGTGCTCCTAGAGAAGCCAGTATTGTGCTGGGCTGTGTCTTCCTTTCTCTCTTAGAGGAGCCCAGGCCCTTGTACTTGAGAGTGCCTTAGTCTCTTCCCGGCATGTGTCTCTTTCTCCTAACCCTCTTGACTAAAGCCTATATTTTAAAAAAAAAATTGAGGGGGCTGGAGAGATGGCTCAGAGGTTAAGAGCATTGCCTGCTCTTCCAAAGGTCCTGAGTTCAATTCCCAGCAACCACATGGTGGCTTACAACCATCTGCAATAAGGTCTGGTGCCCTCTTCTGGCCTTTGGCATACACACAGATAGACTATTGTATACATAATAAATAATAAATAAATAT